GAAGCAGGCTCCCCGCTGAGCATGGAGCCCAATGCGGGGCTCGATTCCAGGACCCCTGGGATCATGACCTGAGCCAAAGGCAGAGGCTTAACCCACTGAGCCACCCAGGCGCCCTTACAAATATAATTTTAAGTGGTTATCATTATATACATTATGGGGCAGAAATGTTGTCCAGGGACTAAAGTAAATACCGTATCACGTTAATCTATTATTGCAAATGGAAGATTCTGCAAACTCTGATGTCGAGAATGTATTTGGGGGCGGCCTGGGTGGCTCAGTGGGTTAAGCCTCTGCCTTTGGCACACAGATCATGATCTCAGGGTCCTGGGATCGAGCCCAGCATCGGGCTCTCTGCTCAGCGGGAAGCCTGCTTCCCCCCCTCTCTTTCTGCCTGCCTCTCTCCCTGCATGTGATCTCTGCCTGTCAAATAAATAAATAAAATCTTTAAAAAAAAAAAAAAGAAAAAGAATGTATTTGGAACCTTGGACAAAAGGCCATGTCCTGTGTGTCTTTTTGAAACATTGGAAATATTTAACATGCCTTATATGTTTGGGTTAATAACCCTGATGCTGAAATAATTGGTATTCCCTTGATCATTATAGGCAAAGAAGCTTTTTTTTTAAAGTCTTATTTTTATGGCATTGATGATTTTTAAGTTTTATGATATCTTTTTGTATTCTATTAAGCAGATGCTTAATTTTTTCATTTTTAAATTTAATAAGTAGGACTCTTATTTTACTGTGCATATCTTGGGTTTTAGGTTCTGGTCTAACTGTTGGGAAGTGGGATGAAAGGTGAATAAAATTCAGACTTTTTAGATGCCAAAGGCCTGGGAGAGACTGGGAAACAATTATCAAGAGATAAGTTAACAGGTCAATAGAAAACAGCATCTTTACCTTCAAGACTTGTGGTTTACTGCATTATCTTTAATTTTAAGACAGTTTTTCATATTTCACTCTCTGACATCGGGATATGCCGATGGTGAGTTAGAATCAGCATTTTTACTTGCCAGTGGCACATAAAATAATGTGTCTTACCATCAATGGTATCTTAGAATTGATGAAATATGCTTATTTTTGTAACTTTATGTCTTCTCAGCGTAAGTTCATTTAAACTTCAGGACCAATATCCACAATCTGAACCACGTTAGGGGAGACTTTACAGATGTGATCGTCTTGGCGCTGCCTTGACGGAAAAGTAGGCGTTGGCCCACGCTGAGCGAGTGGGTTGGCGGAGATGGCATTCTAGACAGAGAGAGTAGCGTGCACAAAGCATGATGTCGTTGCGGGCTGTTGTGTTGGGGACAGGGTTAGGAGTTCTGTGTGGGATGTGGGCGCTGGGGCGAGATGGGGAGACGGATAAACTGGCAGAACCGTGACCTGGAACCAGCCTTGGAAGGACGTGGCATGGCGTGGCGTGGCAGGCTGGGGAGCTGAGCTTGTATTAATGCCCCCCCGCCCCGGCCTCATAAAGCAGCGGGCCCCTGTTCACTTCAGTGAGGGGTGGGGAGCATTGCCACAGTAACAGAAGAGAGTAGATAACAAAGGATGTCCAGTAAGATGAGCCACGCAGAGCTCTCCCAGAGGAAGGGGCCAGCTGGATGCTGTGGAATTAACTGGAAGGGAGAAGGTCACCCAGCAGGGCTATTTCCTTCTGCCCCAGGTGAGAGTGGAGCTGGGGTTCAGTGGCCTGTTCCGGAAGCCTGTTTCTGGACTAGTGCTATGACCGCTGGTGAAAAGTAGAGAATGGCTTTCGTGGGGCAGTGTTAGTCCACTTGGATGGAAATTTTGGGGGAAGCATATAGGAAGTGATGTTTCTAAGCTGTGTTTGGCTTTCTTCTAAGGGTCATTTATTCTGAAAATTATTCCTAAGTTAAGAGCCATTTATTATTCTTACTTTCCTCTAAAATATAACACCTGGTAGAGGAAGAGTCTATCACAGAATTTTTTTAAAAATAGGTTTTTGGCCGGGCGCAGTGGCGCGCCTGTAGTCCCAGCTACTCGGGAGGCTGAGGCAGGAGGACCGCTTGAGCCCAGGAGTTCTGGGCTGTAGTGCACTATGCCGATTGGGTGTCCGCACTAAGTTTGGCATCAATCTGGTGACCTCCCGGGAGCGGGGGACCACCAGGTTGCCTAAGGAGGGGTGAACCGGCCCAGGTGGGAAACGGAGCAGGTCAAAAATAGGTTTTTGGTTTGCGGGTGTTGGTTTTTGTTTTTGTTTTTGTTTTAAGATTTTATTTATTTATTTATTTGTCAGTGAGACAGAGAGAGAGAGTGCACAAGCAGGGGAGTGGCAGGCAGGCAGAGAACCAGCCCCCCTCTCCCCACCGAAACCCTCGGATGATGACCTGAGCCAAAGGCAGACACTTAACCAACTGAGCTACCCAGGTGTCCCTTGATTTGTGTTTTTTCCAAGTTTGGGAATTTGATCTATTACAGGAGATAATTTGTTCACTTTGGGTCTCCAAATAAAAGAGGCACAGAAAATTTGTGCGTCAGAGAGCCACTGAGATACAAAGAGAAGACCAGGGAGGAAAATTAATGGAACCGAATGGAACTGTGTGGAGAGCTGCTGATTTTTCTGTTCTTCCAGCGAATTGTAACGCTCATTACCATCTGCAGCCCCCGAGGGTATTGTTTTACACAGAACTTTGCGTTGCTATGCTAGGGGAAGGAACTGGTCTGTGTTTTCTTTTTTTCTTTTTTTTTTTTTTAAGATTTTATTTATTTATTTGGCAGAGAGAGACACAGCGAGAGAGGGAACACAAGCAGGGGGAGTGGGAGAGGGAGAAGCAGGCTCCCGCAGAGCAGGGAGCCCGATGCAGGGCTCGATCCCAGGACCCTGGGATCAGGACCTGAGTTGAAGGCAGACGCCCCGCAACTGAGCCACCCGGGTGCCCCAGGAGCTAGTCTATTACAAACATTTTCTAATTTCATTTGACTTCTAATAAAAAGAATTGCATACTGCTGTATTGGCATAGTTGGGTTAAAAAAGAGCGTCCGTGGTAAACAACCTCCCTCTGTCTCCAGAGTCCTTGCTGAGGAGGCTGATGATAGATCCCGGTGTCTCTTTCCAGAGACGTTCTACTAAGACGGGAGCAAACCTGTAAGTTGTTGGCCAGCTTGCTCTTTTTTTAAAATGTGGTTTTACGTAATTCACCTATTGAATTTGCCCCTTTAAAGTGTAAAGTTCAATGGTTTTTAGTATATACACAAGAGTAGTTTGGCCATCATTACTACCTAACTTTAGAACACTTTCATTACTCCGTAAAGAAATCCAGCTCTCGGGGTGCCTGGCTGGCTCAGTGGGTTTAGCATCCGCTTTAGGCTCAGGTCATGATCCCAGGGTCCTGCACCTGCTTTGCGGGGAGTCTGGTTCTCCCTCTCCCTCTGCCCCCCTCTCTCCCCAATGCCCATCTCGTGTTCTCTGTCTCTCACTGTCTCTCAAATAAAACCTTTAAAAACAAAACAACTTCAAGGAGCTTGTGGCAGCCATAGGACAGACGTAATCATGCAGAATTCTGAATTCTTTCAAAGAAATTCGATATCTACGCTACTTAGTTTTTTAAAAATATCCCTCACAACGCCTCGGTGGCTCAGTTAGTTGAGCAGCTGCCTTCAGCTCAAGTGGCGATCCCAGGACCCTGGGATCACGTCCCACATCTGCTCCGGCTCGGCAGGGAGCCTGCTGCTCTCCCTGCTTGTACTCTCCCTCCCTGTTAAATGAATAAATAAAATCTTTAAAAATATCCTTCACATAACCTAAAGTCAATTTGGAGGCTTATAAATGTAAAAGTGATGTGATCTGTTAGTAGCTTTTTTGCTTTTGAAAGATTTAGAAATGAGTCACACCTGGACATTTTTCTGTTTTGTCCAGTGTTGGGGGCAGAATGAAATGAGCAAAGATCCTTTGAAGGGAGAAAATCTTTTGAATGCCTCTTCCTTCCCTTTTTCTGTTTCTGCCCCATCTCCGCCAGAAAGTCTGCTCTCACCATATCACCTTCTTAAATACGGGCGCCGGTGCCCACTTCCTGCGGGGCCAAGTTCCAGCTTCTCCGCAGGCCTTTCCCGTTGGAAGGCTTTCTTCTGCTCCGGCCGAGTTAACCTACACAGGTCGTTCGTGAACACCATCCCCTTTCTCTCCGCAAAATGCCCTTCCTGTCCCTCTGTGTTGGTTCTTCTCTGCCTGCCGGCCGGACCCCAAGTGCGTCGTCTGTGAAACACTCCCTGACCGTCCGTTCTTCAGACTCCGCTTTCAGTCACTGCGGGTGCTCTCTTTGCCACTCTAAGGAGATGCTTTCGTAGGAGCTTCTTAGGGAAGATAACGGTGAAACAGGCAGGAAGGGGAGTACAGGCCTGGGAGCGTGTGATCCCTGTTTGGAGGACCGTGTTCCTGGGTCCCGCCTTGTGCCCGGACCCCCCGAGCTGCTGGCGCTCAGGGTCTGTTGTACACATTCCTACGTGTGTGGGTTCATGTAGAGCGTCTGACGAGACTGCATCACCCACAGAACTAGCTCGCCCTCGTTTGCTATTCAAGAGATGAGTTGTTTAATCGATACTAGTCTTTTTTTTTTATCTTTTACATTTTTATTATCTTTGTTGTTATTTTATTCTAACAAAGCCAGCATCTTAGCAGGATGGTGGGGGAAAGGGCAGACGTTTTCCATTTTCTCTCACATTTTATTTTCTGTCCAAGGGTGAGCACTTGTACTCTGAACTCTTTCTGGCAGTGCCAGGTGGGTGCTGATCAATCGTGTTGACTGACGTTAAGTATCCATTTAAGGGCAAGTTGGTTTCTTCAGTTTATTTAGGGAAAAAAAAAATGCTTACGTGTTTGAGTAACAGTAAGTTTGCGTTATAGGAATCCTAGAAATTCAACGGTTATCAGTTTGTTTCCTCCTGAAATGTTCTTTGAGAGCTTTGTGGCCATGAGGAAGTACCCTGTGTGTTGGGCCCGCGAAGGCCAGATAAGATGGGACTGCACCCCCAAGGAGTCTTGAGTCTGGGGGCTGTGCTCGAGGTAATTGCTGTACGAGGACCAAAAAGGTTTTGCCTCTCGCTTGAAAGGTGTGGCCTCAATAGTCAGCAGTCAGAGAGATGTACAAGAAATACTGAGTAGCAGGGCAGAAGAGAAGAGGTAGTCAGATCAGGGAAGATTTTACCAAAGTCACGTTTGGGTGGATTCTTGAGATGCTGTGTGATTTTAGACGGCCTCGGTCCCAGCTCTGTGTCTGCGTGCCGTGTGCCCTGAAGCTGGGCCATCTGCACGGCCTGTTGAGGGAAGTGAGAGCAAGCCCATACCCGCTCCCTGGAGACAAGCCCTCACCCGTGGAAAGCAGGAAAGGGCGGTGTGACTTTGCAGAGTCCTGTGCCGTGCGGAGGACTGTGGGCCTGGCGCAGTAATGGGGCAGCTGTGAAACTGGGTTTTCAGTTGGCGTGGGTGACTTTGCATTTTAATGAAGACTCTGCCCAAAGGATGACCAGGGAGCAGACACAGCTCTGAGAGTGCCCATAGCTCTAGAGAAGGATTTAGTATTTCCTTCTCTGTTTGATTCACTTCCCCTGTGTGGTTAAAATGTGGCTAGTCTGTTTGTCTAGCTTTCCACTGCACTGGGACAGACTCTGGTCTTACAGCTCTGCAGTCCGCTTCAGAACCCAGCAGGACAGCACTTTACGGGCTCTCGGCTCCTGGGGTGTTCTGGCTCCTCTGCTTCTCAACGCTCGACGGACATTTCTGTTTTTCCCCTAAAGTTGTTGTTTGTTTGTTTTTTTAAGATTTTATTTATTTATTTGACAAAGACATAGCGGGTGAGGGAACACAAGCAGGGGGAGAGAAGGAGGGAGAAGCAGGCTCCTCTCTGAGCAGGAAGCCTGATGCGGGGCTTGATTCCAGGACCCTGAGACCATGACCTGAGCCGAAGGCAGAGGCTTAACCCACTGAGCCACCCAGGCGCCCCTTTCCTAAAGTTCATTTTTAACGATTAAAATAATAATAAAAGGACAATATACATGGATATGAAGTCATAGGAATAATTTGGGGACTCTGAGACCACTGCCACCTTAATTCCAGCAGCTAACGCATTCTTCCGAGTAAAGCAGATTTTTTGTAATTTCTGTGTATACATTTAAACTTGGGTGTAATTAAGAATACAGTAGTGCACCGCCCTAGTCTTTTTAAAGAAGTTCCCGTCCGTGTGTATGCACTAACAGAGCTTTACAGCGGAACATACCTGTGCCTACACTCAGCCAGACGCCAGGCAAGGTTTGGCTTGTATGCTTCCGGCACAGTCTTACCGTACTGCAGGACAAAAGTGGAGCCTGATACTCAGTGGTTACCAGTTGCGAATCACCTGAGGGCTTTTTAAAAACCCTGGAGCCCAGGCCACACCCCTTACCAATTAAATCACAGTTCCTGGGGTTAGGGGTGGGAAGCGGACACCAGCATTTGCCTTTAATAGACTGTTTTTCATAGCAAAATTGAGAGAACGTTTATATATCCATATGCCATATACGCATACCGTCCCAGACGTGCATGGCCTCCCTCGTTATCAACCTCCCCACCAGTGTGATGCATTTGTTACAGTCGATGAACCTGCATTGATAAATCATAACCACCCGTAGTCATGATTCTCATTAGGGTTCACTCTGAGGTTGTACCTTCTGTGGGCTTGGACTAGTGCATAGTGCCTTGTATCCGTCATTGCCATGAGAGCGTTCTAGTAGTTTTGGACGCATCAGTACCTCTTAAGGCTCTCTAGGTGATTCCAGTGTGCGGGCAAGGCCCAGGACCACTGCGCTGTCTTGTAGTTCTGGGCCTTATTTATTATTCTGACTTGTATGTGAAAACTCCCTCTGTCTTCTTTATACATCCGGTTCCCCATAACAGCCCACATTTTATTTGAATAAAAGATTCAGTTAGAGCTTGATAATCAGCATATTGAAGAGAGTGGTGCTCTGGGGTCAGAGTATCCAAGAGTCAACTTTTGGCTCCGCATTGGCCAGAGAAGTGATTTGGGCAAGTTCCTTGGCCTCTCTCTGAGCTTCTCTCCAGTAGATAACACCCAACAGGGTTGTTGAAAAATACTGAATGTCCCCTAGTTCAGTAATGCTTTACCCATAAGAAGCACTCAGTAAGTGGTGTTTTCTTGTTGCATCCTTTTTGCCTTATTTTGGAGGCGAGGAATGCCCTTCTCGTCATTGACCACAGGCATATTTTTCTCCAGTCACATGTTCTGTTGTTGGCTCTAGTATTTTGTGGGGTTGGTTTTTTTTTTTCTGATTTGGATTAAATCGTGGTTCAGGTATCTTCTAACATAATGTAGACCTTCCGAGAAGATTTGAGCGCTCAGAAAGATAGATTTAAGTACAGTGGTCTCCTGTTTGCATGAAATTATATAAGCCGTTTCAGCACACGAGAGATACAAACTACGTGAGAGTGTTATTTTTTCACCATAAGATGGGCCCCCCAGAGGCTTCTGCGTGTCCTTTACACGGAGCACTTTAGTCCACTAGAATCTATCAGAGGTGACATGATCTGGTTTTTCACTTTTATCCGTTTGCTAAGAACTGAGAAAGCTGGGACACCTGATGTGGAGGACGCAGTTCGGGTTAGGGTCACGGCGTTTGTGTTGATTGCTTGACTGGACATTTTGGCCTTTTAAAAATTAATTTAAAAAATTTTTTAAAAAGATTTATTTATTTTTTTGACAGAGACCACAAGTAGGGGAGCGGCAGGCAGAGGGAGAAGGTGAGGGAGAAGCAGGGAGAGGGCTTCCCTCTGAGCGGGGAGCCTGACGCAGGACTCCGTCCTGGGACTCGAAGATCGTGACCTGAGCCAAAGGCAGTGGCTTCACTGACAGCCGCCCGGACGCTCCGTTTTGGCCTTTGATGGAGGCCCTGCGCTATGCCAAGTCTGCACTGGGACTGGCACAGCCTGGGGGGCCAGCACCAGGCCCCGGCCACAGCCTGCAGATACTTGTTCACTCTTCTCCGGGAGGCGGTCAGTCCTTCCAGGGCAGAGGCTGAGCCCCTGTGTGGTTGGAAAGAATGAGTCGCTGACGGACAGCAGACCAGCGGCAGCCGGAAAGAAGGACGAGCAGTCCATACATAGAGGAGGCAGAGGAGAAATACTAGGGCTTTAGGGAGTCATGTGATTAGTTAATGACTGGCCTGATTCAGGACCTTTTGAATGCCTCGCATTTGAGAAACAGAAAGACCTTGGTCGGTGCAGAAGAGGTTAAAGATAGAGGTGTGGCCAGCTGGACATTGCCTGTGAGTGGAAGGAGTGGCTCTGAGGGGAGCTCAGTAATCCTGTGTATTCGTGAAAGTGCACAGACCTTCTTCTATCATCATTTTCTCCAAGATAAAGGTTGTTTGTTAGTTTGGTTTTAATTCCGTATGCTTAACATCCGGCGTTAGTTAGTTTCAGGGTTATAACACAGCGACTCGGCAGCTCTGCACACTGCTCAGCACCACCGTGGTGAGTGCACTCCTAGCCCTCACCTGTCCCCTCACCCTCCGGCCCTCTGGTGGCCGTCAGTCTGTTCTCTGCAACTAACCGTCTGTTTCTTGGTTGGTCTCTCTTTTCCTCCTCATTGGTTTGCTTTGGTTCTTAAATTCCACCTGTGAGTGAAGTCATAGTCTTTCTCTCACTGGCTTATTTTACTTAGCATAATACTCTCTAGATGTAGTCATGTTTTAGAAAGGGCAAGATTTCATTCTTTTTTATGGCCAAGTAATACTCCATTGTAGTATACATACTACATCTTCTTTATCCCTTCATCTACTGATGGACACTTAGGTTGCTTCCATAATGTGGCTATTGTAAGTAATGCTACAGTAAACACAGGGGAGCATGTATCCCTCTGAATTTTTTTTTTTAAAGATTTTTATTTATTTGACAGACAGATCACAAGTAGGCAGAGAGGCAGGCAGAGAGAGAGGAGGAGGAGGAAGAGAAGGAGGAGGCAGGCTCCCTGCTGAGCAGAGAGCCCGATGTGAGGCTCGATCCCAGGACCCTGGGATCATGACCTGAGCCGAAGGCAGAGGCTTTAACCACTGAGCCACCCAGGCGCCGCCCCCTCTGAATTTTTTTGAGGTAAATACCCAGTAATGGAGTTACTGGAATATATGATAGATAGTTCAGTGTTCAACCTTTTTGAGGAGCCTCCATACTGTTTCCCACAGGGTCACACCAGTTTACCTTCCCACCAGCAGTGCCCGAGGGTTCCCCTTTCTCCACATCCTCACCAACACTTGTTTCTTTCTTCCTTTTTTTTTTTTTTTATTTTAACCTTTCTGACAAGTGTGAGGTGATATCTCATTGGTAGTTTTGATTTGCATTTCGCTGATGATGAGTGATGTGGGGCATCTTTTTCATGTGTCTGTTGGCCATCTGGAGATCTTCTTTGAAGAGATGTCCTATCCGTTTTGGTTTTTTTGTTTTTTGTTTTTTGTTTTTAATTTGACAGAGATCACAAGTAGGCAGAGAAACAGGCAGAGAGAGAGGGGGAAGCAGGTTCCCCGCTGATCAGAGAGCCCAAGCAGGGCTCGATCCCAGGACCCTGGGACCATGACCTGAGCCGAAGGCAGATAAGGCTTTAACCCACTGAGCCACCCAGGTGCCCCTCTTCTGTCCATTTTTAATCGGATTGTTTGTGGGGTTTCTTTGTGGTGTTCTTGTTACAGTTCTTTATATATTTTGGACACTAACCCTTTATCAGACATGTCATTTGCAAATGACACTCAGTAGGTTGTCTTTTAGTTTTGTTGCTTGTTTCCTTTGCTGTGCAAAAGGTTTTTATTTTGATGTAGTTTCAATAGTTTATTGTTACTTTTGTTCCCATTGCCTTAGGAGACATATCTAGAAAGATGTTGTTACAGCTGATGTCAGAGAAATTACTGCCTGTGCTCCTTCTAGGATTTTTTAGGGTTTCAGGTCTTACATTTAGGTCCTTAACCCATTTTGAGTTTATTTTTGTGTGTGGTGTGAGAAGTGGTCTCATTTCATTTTGCATGCAG